AAAAAAAAAAAAAAAAAAAAAAAAAACTAACAGAATTGGATATAGGATTTTAAAAAAGAATCAAGGATGACTCCTTGGGTTTTAAACTAGTGCTAGATGGTGGAATAGTGATGTTATTAAGACACAGAAAAACTGGAAAAAGTCGGTTTCAGAAGGAAACGAAGAGTTTCATTTTGGGCTAATTAAATTGGGAGACTATTAGGTTTCCAAGTAGAAATTCAGAATAGAGTTTACAAGGATACCTCAGAGATGTTGTGGGTTTGGTTCCAGATCAACACAATAAAGCAATTATACAATAAAGTTAGTCACATGAATTTTTTGGTTTCCCAATAAATAAGTTATACTTACATTATACTCTATAGTCTATCAAGTATGCAACAGCATGATGTCTCAACGAATAATATGTATATATACCTTAATTAAAGCTACTACATTGCTAAAATAAAAAAATGCTAACAATCATCTGAACCATCTGAGAGTCAAACTTCTCACTGGTGGAGGGTCTTGCGTCCATGATGATGGCCACAGACTGATGAGGCCAGTGGTTACTGAAGGCTGGGGTGGCTATGGCAATTTTATAAAATAAAACAACGAAGTTTGCCACCTCCCTTGACTCTTCCTTTCTCAAAGATTTCCCTGGAGCATGTGATGCTGTTTGATAGAATTTAACCCACAGTAGAACTTTCACAGTTACAGTCAATCCTCTCACACCCTGCCACTGCTTCACTGGGTTAGTTTCTATACTATTCTAAATCCTTGGTGGTCATTTGAACAATGTTCACAGCATCTTCACCAGAGGTAGGTTCCCTCAAGAAACCATTTTCTTTGCTCATCCATAAGAAACAACCTACCCATTCCAGTGTTTTTGTTTGTTTGAGACAGTTTCACTATGTCAACCTCAGTAGAGTGCTATGGTATTACAGCTCACAATAACCTCAAACTCCTAGGCTTAAGCGATTCTCTTGCCTCAGCCTCCCAAGTAGCTGGGACAACAGGCGCCTGGCCATTTTTTGGTTGTAGTTGTCATTGTTGTTTAGCAGGCCCCAGGCCAGATTCAAACCTGCTACCCTTGGGTATGTGGCTGGTGCTCTAACCACAGAGCTACAGATGCCAAGCTCCATTCCAGTTTTATCACAGACTGCAGCAATTCAATCCCATCTTCAGGATCCATTTCTAATTCTAGTTCTCTTGCTATCTCTACTACATCTGCAGTTTCTTTACTCCATTGAACTCTAGAACCCCCAAGAGGGTTGGAATCAATTCCTCCAAACTCCTGTTCATGTTGTTATTTTTACCTCCTCTCATGAATCATGAATGTTTTCTATGGCATATAGAATGGTGAATCCTTTCCAGAAGGTTTTCAATTTACTTCGCCCATATCCAGCAAAGGAATTACTACCTATGACAATTATAGCCTTATGAAATGTATTTCTTAAATAACAAGACTCCAAAATCAAAATTACTCCTTGATCAGGATGCAGAACAAATGCTATGTCAGGAGATATGAAAACAACATTCATGGTACATCTTCATCAGAGCTCTTGGTAGACACATACATTGTAAAGGAGAAGTAATATTTTTAAAGGAATCTTTAGTTATCTTTTTTTGAGACAGGGTCTTGCTCTTGTCACCCAGGCTGGAATGCACACTACAACCTCAAACTCCTTGAGTTCAAGGGATCCTCCTGCCTCAGTCTTTGTGTTTGTTTTTTGTTTCTTTTGAATAGCAAGTCTCAACAATAGGCTTAAAATATTCAGCAAACCATGCTATAAACAGCTGTGCTATCATCTAGGCTTTGTTATTCTATTTATAGAGCACAGCCAGAGTAGATTTAGCATAGTTCTTGGGTGGCCCTTGGAGTTTTGGGATGGTAAATGAGCACTGGCTTCAACATAAAGTCACTAGCTACATTAGCCCTGAACAAGAGAGTCAGACTGTCCTTTGAAGCTTTGAAGCCAGGCACTAACTTCTCTCTAGCTATGAAGATCATAAGTGAAATCATCTTCCATTAAAAAGCTGTTTCAGCTCAGCGCCTATAGCTCAAGCTGCTAAGGCACCGGCCACACACACCAGAGCTGGCAGGTGCAAATCCAACCTGGGCCTGCCACACAACAATGACAACTACAACCAAAAAATGGCCGGGCGCCTGTAGTCTCAGCTACTTGGGAGGCTGAGGCAAGAGAATCACTTAAGCCCAGGAGTTGGAGGTTGCTGTGAGCTGTGATGCCACAGCACTCTACCCAGGATGACAGCTTAAGGCTCTGTCTCAAAAAAAAAAAGCTATTCTGTCTACACTGAAAATCTGTCATTTAATGTCTTCACCAATGATCTCAGATCTCCTGGATAACTTGCAATATCGTCTACATCAGCACTTGCTGCTTCACCCTGCACTTTTGTCATTAAAACAGCTTCTTTCAGCTGGGTGCAGTGGCTTAAGCCTGTAATCCTAGCACTGTGGGAGGCCAAAGCAAGTGGATCACCTGAGCTCAGGTCAGCTTGAGCAAGAATGAGATCCCATCTCTACTAAAAATAGTAAAAAAATCACTGGCTGTTGTAGCAGGCACCTGTGGTCCCACACATCTGGAAGGCTGAGGCAAGGGGATCAATCATCTGAGCCCCAGAGTTTGAGGTTGCTGTGAGCTATGCACTCAACCCAGGAGACAGAGTCAGACTCTGTCTCAAAAAAAAAGACAGCTCTTTCCTTAAACCTCATGAAACAATCTCTACTAGCTTCCAACTGTTCTTCAGCAACACCCTTACCTCTCCCAGCCTTCATAAACTGAAGAGAATTAGGGCCTTGCTCTGGATTACACTTTTGCTTAAAATGTTGTGGTGGTCTGATCTCCTACACAGACCACTAAAATTTTCTCGATACCAGCAGTAAGGCTGTTCTACTTTCTCATCATTCATTTGTTCAATGGAGCAGCACTTTTAATTTCCTTCAAGAACTTTTGCTTTGCACTAACAACTTGACTAAATGTTTGGCACAAGAGACCTGCCTTTTGGCCTATCTCAGCTTTCAACACGTCTTCCTTACTAAGCTTAATCGTTTCTAGCTTTTGATTCAAAATGAGAGATGTGTGATTCTTCCTTTCACTTGAACATATAGAGGCCATTGTAGGATCATTAACAGCCTTATTTTAATATTGCTATGTCTCAGTGAATAGTGAGACTTGAGGAGAAAAGGGGAGAGATGAGGGAAAGGCCAGTTGCTAACGCAGCCAGAACACGAACAAAATATCAATTCAGTTCACCATCTTACATGGAAGCAGCACATGACACTCCAAAACAGTGACAACAGTAACATCAAAGATTATCCACCACAAAGCACCACAAGAGATATTATAATAATGAAAAACTCTGAAATATTGGGACAGTTGCTAGAAAGTAACACACAAACACAAAGTGAGCACATCCTGTTGGAAAAATGGCACCCAAACAGCTGCTCAACACAAACGTTCACTTGGTCAAAAACACACTACCTACAAAGGACAATAAAGTGAAATATGCCTCTATATAATTCTAGAGCTCACAAGAGAGGCCTGGGCTAAAAATACAAATTTAGGCATTATTATCTCACAAATCATAGGACACAAAAAAAGAAACTAAAAGATTTTTGGTGACATCATACTACTCTCTGCATTCAATAAAACATTTTGTACTGGCTAATGCATAGTTAAGTATTATTTATGTGTATTTGCAAACATCAGGACAGTAGTGTATAAACATACATACATGTAAGACAAAATAATTTACCCAAACTCGATTAAATTTTTTTAGATTAATTTTTTTTTTTTTTTTTTGAGACAGAGCCTCAAGCTGTCCCCCTAGGTAGAGTGCTGTGGCATCACAGCTCACAACAACCTCTAACTCCTGGGATCAAGCGAGTCTCCTGCCTCCGCCTCCCAAGTAGCTGGGACCACAGGCGTCCGCCACAACGCCCGGCTATTTTTTTGGTTACAGCCATCACTATTGTTTGGCGGCCTGGGCTGGATTCAAACCCGCCACCTTAGGTGTATGTGGCTGGTGCCTTAGCCACTTGAGCCACAGGCGCCAAGCCTTAGATTCTATTATTTATAATTAATCCTTAATTACATGAGTACAAAAAGATGGCTAATTAATATACTTTAAAAACACTTAAACTTTACAACTTCTATTATAAGTAAAATATTATAGCAATATAAATAAGTTACCTTTAATTTAATGTTAGATAAACCTTCTTTTTCTATAATACTTCCAGAAAGCTGAATTGCAGAGGGAGAGTAATCAATTCCAGTAATATTAGAGAAACCAAATTTTGCCTAGGGACAGAAAAACAATTTTATACTTTAGTTTTAAAAAAAGTCATAATATAATGTTTTGCCTATGAATTATAATATTCCTTTAGGACTGGGGTTATTTTATTTTTGTAATAGAGCAAATGACATATAATCTCATAATCCACAAAGTTTAAATTTTATAATAAAATCTAAATAGAAACCAAAGTTTAAATTTATACGTGACTATCCATTTGCCTTTACATTTTGTTTCCTTTTCAAAATGAAATTCATTTTTCTCAAAGATAATGTAAATATATGTATTAATATAAACCCTCGGCAGAAAAATGTATTAACTTCTGATGCTGATATTTTTCATTTCTCAATTTGTCATGAATTTTACTTAACCCAATTAAATTACAAGAATAAATTAAATGTGTATGTATTAACAAATTACTAATCTTAAAATTTTCCCTTCAACGTAATTATAAATTGTGTAACTCTCCACCAGCCATGTGATTACTAACCACCTTACATTTGTATACTACTTTTTAATTTTTATATACTTCACATGTTCCATTAAATCTTTATGAAAAACCTACTTAGGTAGGCTGAGCAGAAATTAATATCCCCAAATATCTAAAAAAAGCTCACTGGACTTAAGAGTTCTGATCATTACTAGCCATGAATCCATCTGGGTATGTGAAACCTACGACAAAAGTGTGGTAGCTTTTGTCTTTACCCCCTAACTATACTGATCATTTTTATTCTTTTTTTTTTTTTTTTTTTTTGAGACAGAGCCTCAAGCTGTCCCCCTGGGTAGAGTGCCGTGGCATCACAGCTCACAGCAACCTCCAACTCCTGGGCTCAAGCGAGTCTCCTGCCTCCGTCTCCCAAGTAGCTAGGACCACAGGTGCCCGCCACAACGCCCAGCAATTTTTTGGTTGCAGCCGTCATTATTGTTTGGCGGGCCGGGGCTAGATTTGAACCCGCCACCTTACGTGTATGTGGCTGGCACCTTAGCCACTTGAGCCACAGGCGCTGAGCCGATCATTTTTATTCTTATTATTTTCTGTATAATTTCATATGCTGAGCACTTTTAGATCTAAGAATAAAAATAATTTCAAAGGAAATACGAAACACAAAATAAGTTGCAAAGTTCAGTGCAGCATGAAATTCCCTTGGTGCTCCTTCACCATTTACTAAATGGTTCCTTCCTTCGAAACCTAACCTAGGCTCAGCACCTGTAACACAGTGGTTACAGCAGCAGCATATACACCACAGCTGGCAGGTTCAAGCCCAGCCTAGGCCAGCAAAAACAAAAATGACAACTGCAACAAAAAAAATAGCTGGGCGTTGTAGCAGGCACCTGTAGTCCCAGCTATTGGGAGGCTGAGGCACGAGAATAGCTTAAGCCCAAGAGTCTGAGGTTGCTATGAGCTGTGATGCCACAGCACTCTACTAAGCACCACCTCTGATATAGGGGGTCAGCGCCCTACACAGGCACTGCCCAAGATTTTTCTGCTTCTGGTTTTCATCAGATATACTATGATGTTCCTAGGTATGGTTTTCTTTGTTTTCTTCTACCTTGAGTTTACAGTGCTTCTTGAATCTGTGGCTCAGGGTCCCTGGTCAATATTGGAAAATTCTTACATACATTTTCTCTCTTATCCCATCCTTACTTCCTCTCCTCTCACATTTCATGTATAGACTCTGTGTGTTTGTTCGCGTACATGTGTGGACTACGTGTATTAAAAACAAGAAATGAGATAGAAGATAAAATATGGAACAGAATGTAAGATTTAGCATCTATCAATTTACACACATATATGTGAGTGTGTGTGTGTGTGTGTGTATATATATACACACACACACAAGGGAATGAAGCCAGGCACAAAAGGCCACGTACCGTATTATGATTTTTTATTTATGATTATGTTTTTTAAAAATGTCCAGAATATAGAAATCCAAAGACAGAAAAAAGATAGCTGGTTGTCAGGGGCCAAAGGGAAAGGAGCATGGAGAGGGAACGCTAATGGATATAAAGTTTCTTAATGAAGTGATGAAAATCTTATAGAATTAAGATGCCAGTGATGGGGTGGCACCTGGCCCCATATACTGAGGGTGGCAGGTTCAAACCTGGCCCCGGCCAAACTGCAACCAAAAAATAGTCAGGCACTGTGGCAGGACCCTGTAGTCCTAGCTACTTGGGAGGCTGAAGCAAGAGAATCACCTAAGCCCAGAATTTGGAGGTTGC